GCACAGTAATACACAGCAGTGTCTTCAGTCTTCAGGCTGTTCATCTGTAAGAACAGTTTACTGCTGGAGTCATCTCTGGAGATGGTGAATCTTCCCTGGACAGACTGGGAGTAATAGATAGGGCTACTGGCTGTGCTAATATAAGCCACCCATTCCAGCCCCTTCCCAGGAGCCTGTCTAATCCAGCTCATTCTGTAGTCACGAAATGTGAATCCTGAGGCTGTACAGGTCAGTCTGTGTGATCCTCCAGGTTGGACAACTGCAGGTTCAGACTCAGTCAGCATGATCTGAGAATGAACACCTGTAGGAAAAAAAATATATAAATGTAATTTATTTAAACTAAAGTCAGTCACTTAAACACCTTAGGGATGAAAAAATAAGTTTAAGCTTGATGAAAAATAGCAGAAACTAATATTCTTTCTGCCACTATTGAAAATGCTCACCTGTTAAATAAATGCTAACTAAGAGTACTGCAGTCAGAAAAGCCATTGCTGCTGTTTAAAACTGTGGTCTGTAGACACACTTCAGTCCAGACAGTCGACAATCTCAGCTGTTTCTCCTCCAGCGCATTGAGATAAATGAGGCAGGAAGGCCTCTGAGTTTGCATGGACTCCTCCTCATGGGATGGGCAGAATGACACACAGCTTTAATACTGAATCACACTCTGGGGGAGGAGACCTGCTTTCTAAAAGACCCCTGAGTCTCTCTCTGTCTTGTTCAAATGAGAGTAGTAAAATTCAGTGATGTTGTGAGTGATAGTTCCCTTGTGCTGAATAATATAATTCATGTCACAGGCCAGTACAGTCGCTTCTCCAGTAACACCAATGCATCAGCTGCTACAAACCCTTTTTTACAGCTTAATCAATGGCACACCCTACTGCAATCATTGATGACACTTCTGTTTGCTAAAGACTAAATTATCATTATTCTAAGTATCAAGATCATGGTCTGTATCTAAAATAGCTTTGTGATATTAGTTGTGCTATATTACATATGACTTTATTTTTTCTGTTGTTTGCTCATGTTGTGTGTCTGGGCAGGTTGGTACAGCAGATGGTTTCAGTCTCCTGGGTCTGACTGTCAGGAGGATCTCCTGCTGTTTTCCCCACACTTGTGGTCAAAGACAGGTGCACTAACAGTGTGGGTTCTGTGTTTTAAGATATTGTAGCAAATTAATTGTAAAACAAATTAATAATCATATCATTTTATCTGTATTGCGATTTTATGTTGAAGAGAATGCAGCTTTCTATAATGGTGTGTATTTTCAGAATCATAAAGATCAGCAAACAAACTTGCAATGACAGTAAAGAATTTGTGGTTTGTGTAATTGTGTCCCACACATGTATAAAATAACTGTAACAATGTGTTATTACTGTGGAACATAGGAGGCTTTATCTATCCAGATTGTTGTGGGAGTCTGGCTCAAACTGATGGGTCATTAAAATGAAAAGAAGAGACAACCAATGAAAAAAACCTATTGAAGACAGGAACACCCAAACTTTCACACTCCGGGTTGTGTATATAACAAGATCTCATATTGCTGGTAGAGGTTTCAGCAGCCCAGAACCTGTTCCAGAAGTACAGGGAGCAGAGGGGAAATGAACACTGGACAGGGTACCAGGTCCTCGCAGGGTAGACCACCACACTGTACACCTGTGATTTTATGATGCATAATTAGAACTGTGTTGAACCTATTTTACCAATTTATCATAATGTTCAAGTGGAGAGTGGAGATGTGAGGTTGCTAATAACTGAAATGTTGTGTTTCTCCTTCTGTTTTTTTGCAGCATGGAATTAACCTTTAATATCTCTTAATATTACAATGACTGATATCTTTGAATCCTTTTTCTGGAAGTACCTTTTCTAACATAATCCTTTTTTTAAACTCTGTATGTATGTTTATACTGCTGAGTGTTACTATATACAAGATGTAACTTCCCCTTTGACTTTGCAAGTGGTTTGGACATTTGTGGGTTTTTGTCAGGGCTCATGCTTCACTTCTCTCACTGTGGGTCTCGAGCACAGTAATACACAGCAGTGTCTTCAGTCTTCAGGCTGCTCATCTGTAAGTACAGCTGGTTTTTGGAATCATCTCTGGAGATGGTGAATCTTCCCTGGACAGCCTGGGAGTAGTATGTGCTGCTGCCACCACCATTGCTAATAGCAGCCACCCACTCCAGCCCTTTCCCAGGAGCCTGTCTGACCCACTGCATCCAGTAGCTGCTGAATGTGAATCCTGAGGCTGTACAGGTCAGTCTGTGAGATCCTCCAGGCTTGACAACTGCAGATTCAGACTCTGTCAACACCTGGGACTGAACACCTGTGAATGAAACAGAATGTTGTATATACGTACCTGAAAACTCAAAGTGAACATTTTAAATAAATTTCTACTTTAAATTAAAATCTAACAATTTAACATAAATTAAAACATGAGAACATTGGTTATCTACTTGGATAAAGTACCACAGCAAATCCCCACCTTGGAGAACTGTCATCACCACACTGATGATAATCAAAATCTTCATGGTTGCTTATTTCACAGAGCTGTGACTGAAGTTTCAGCCTCTCCCTCAGTGATCACTGATAAATTCTCAGCAGATTTGCATAACACTCTCTCTCTCTAAGGGCCAGGCGGTATAAAATGGGTTGACATGCACTTCTTTTCAGCACTAAACTAAAAATTCTATACTTATTACTCCCATGGCATTACACACACTACTATACCAAGCAATGAACAATGACAACATATTGTATTATTTTGATTTTGATGCAGAAGGCCAATTTGTCATTTTTCTAAATACTGTATAATGGTCATGAACTGTTTCTTCATGTGCTCTAGAACATTCCTTGTTCTGTCTTAAGTAAGGCTTTATTATTTATTATTTCTACTGTTTGTCCTGGGCAGATTGGTACAGCAGATGTTTTCTGACAGTCAGTAGAATCTCCTGCTCTTTTGCCCTCAGCTGCGCTGTAACTTTTCATGGGCTTCTGTGTCCTCAGACATTCTAGTACAGTGACTGCCCCCTGCTGGAGGACATGGCTGAGTGCCTGGCGCAACGGTGGGGGGCTCTGTGGCTAAGGATCTGCGCCTGTGGCTGGAAGGTTGCTGGTTTGAATCCCATGGCCGGCAGAGGAGTCCTACTCCGTTGGGCCCCTGAGCAAGGCCCTTCACCCCAACTGCTTCAGGGGCAACGTATAAATGGCTGACCCTACGCTCTGACCCGAAGCTTCTCTCCCTGTCTGTGTGTCTCATGGAGAGCAAGTTGGGGTACGTGAAAAGACATATTCCTAATACAAGAAATTGTATAGGGGCAATAAAGTGATCTATCTCCATCTCTTAATTGACATGTGCAATATTAACTATCACTATTGAAAATGCTCACCTGTTAAGTATATGCTTGCTAATAGTACTGCAATCAGAATAGCCATTGTCATTGGTTGAGACTGTGGTCTGTGGAGACACTTCAGTCCAGCCAGTCGACACTCTCAGCTGTTTCTCCTCCAGCGCAGTGAGATAAATGAGGCATTAAGCCTTCTGTGAAAGGACTCCTTCTAATAGGCTGGGCAGTGTGACACACAGCTTAAGTACTGAATAACTCACTGGGGGGAGAGATCTGGTTTCTTTAAGTTGACTCAAAGATTCCCTTCCTCTTTCATACCTGAGTGGTACAATTCAGTGATTTTGGAGGGACAGTTCCCTTGTGCTGGATATTTTAATTCATATTAAATGATTACAGGCCAGAACAGTCTCTTCTCCACTGACACCACCAAAACAGCCACTACAAGTTGTCTCATCTACAACAGACTTTCTTGATCTCATACAGGATACTTCTCTTTGCAAAAGGTGAAGTTATAATTATTTGAACTATCAAGCTCTATAATGCTAGATGTGCTGTATTACACTTCCCTTTATTGTTGTTGTCATTAACTGAAGGTGAGTGATTATATATATTGAATACGTTGGTACAGCAGGTGGCCTCAGTCTCCTGGGTCTGACATTCAGTAGAATCTCCTGTTCTTGTCCTCACAGCTGTGCTCCAGCTCATCATGGGCATCTGTGTCCTCAGACAATTTGGTGCAGTGTCTGCCCCCTGCTGGAGCACATTGATAAATACAACAGTCTATTGTATTTGAAGGAACAAATATGGACCAGTTGTGAAAACAGGTTCCTTTCTTGAAATGCTTTTACAGTTTAGTAAGTTACAAACAAATCACAATAATAAGAGGTATTTCTTCGCAGAGATATTGATGTGATTAGAAGTGCTTTAAGTGAACAGGTGAGAAGATAAAGACTAGTGTTCCAGAAGAATTTGGGATCAATAGGGAATAAAACAAGCCAGAGAGGTCTTGCATGCAGTCCTTCATGTTGGCATGTCCTTAAAGTCCCTATTTATTTACCATCTGTTAATCAGCAGCACTTTAACTTAGTATGACAGAATTCTCTGGATATTCTCAGATTTTACATCTGTAGGTTTTTGTCAGGGCTCAGGCTTCACTTCTCTCACTGTGAGTCTCGAGCACAGTAATACACAGCAGTGTCTTCAATCTTCAGGCTGCTCATCTGTAAGAACAGTTTACTGCTGGAGTCGTCTCTGGAGATGGTGAATCTGCCCTGGACAGACTGAGCGTAATATTTAGAAGGATTACTACCAGTACAAATAAGAGCCAACCACTCTGGCCCCTTCCCTGAACCCTGTCTGACCCAACCCATACACCAGTCCTTAAATGTGAATCCTGAGGCTGTACAGGACAGAGTGTGAGATTCTCCAGGCTTTTTAACTGCTGGTTCAGACTCAGTCAGCACAATCTGGGACTGAGCACCTGAAATAATAAAAAAAAAAGATTTTAATTATTTTCTATCCAAGCTTGTCTGGGGATAGAGGAATATTTGATTCAAGTCAAAATATCATCAAAATATCAGGCTGTACATGTACTTACAGTTCAAGCTGTTCGTTATGAACAGCAAGAGTAGAATCCTCATTTTAATGGGTAAGATTGTAACTTGACAATAGCTGTGAGAGTCCAATCCAACTCCAGTGAGCACAGGTGCTCTTTATAGAGGGAGACAAAGTTGGTGAGTTTGCATGGTGTTTTGAAGGGGGTGGAGATTCAAATACATACCTTAAAACAAGAGACCAGTCTTCTGTGAAATGATATGTTTTTGGTTGAACTGATATTTCATTTTAAATACTTTGTGGTCTCACATATCTAATTTTTACACAGAATTTCTATAAATTCTTTTCTATATCATTTTCCCAGTCCACAGGAATCCAGGCACGTCCAAGGTCCAGTGTGAAGTTCCAGTCTCACAGTTTTTTCAGATGCACGTTGACAAAATTGGACATGAGCAAAATTAATAGCTTTTGCTTCACTTGTTCATTTGTTTTTCATTTCATTAATAGTGATATTTATAAAAGTGTTTCAAAAGAAATTTCCCCTTCTTTTTCTCACAGTAGAAGTTTTTGATGACGTGATGAATTTTAGCACACAGCTCCCCCTGCAGGACAGTTTCACAGGAAATCCCTTCAACGGCTCTGAGTCCCTCTCTGGTGTCAGCGGGTCTGCACTGTGGTCTCAGTCTCGTCACAGCTCAGACACACAGAGCCTGACAGGGAAGTTTCTGCACTGAATATAACTTTCCAGAGAGTCGTGACTTTATATCATGACTTTACATCTGCGCCTGTGACTGGAAGGTTGCTGGTTCAAATCCTGCAGCTGGCAGAGGAATTCTACTCTGTTGGGCACCTGAGCAAGGCCCTTAACCCCAACTGCTCCAGGGGTGCTGTACAATAGCTGACCCTGTGCTCTGACCCCAGGCTCTCTCCCTGTCTGTTTGTCTCATGAAGAGCAAGCTGGGGTATGTGAAAAGGTAATTCCTAATGCAAGAAATTGTAAAGGGTTAATAAAGTGATGTTAATGAACTGCAGAGGCAACTTCAAATCATCAACAGCATGAAGTAGGAAACAGACCACTGGGCAAATAGTTTAGGTGCATTTTAAATAGAGGATAGGAAGTCTATTTTTACTCAAAGTATTATGGATATCTTAAACATTGTACCCATATATGCAGTTGAATCTGATACCCTGGTTACTTTCGAGAAATGGCTGGATAAGACCATGAGATTGATTGACTACTAGAAAACACACAAGCTAGATGAGTGTTCTTGGTTCCTACTGTATGTACAGTACAATTGGACTACAGTGTTCTCAGTCTTCTTTCTGCTGACCGATAACTACATGAATGTAGTCTGTCACCTTCCCTGGTAAGCTGTCCTATAGTTGATGTCAACAATTCCTTTCCTACTCTTCCAAGCATCCTTCCCAACCTTGGAGATCCACTCCGTGTTAATATCACCAGATCTAATGCACAGTATATCAGTCAAAGGTTTGAGTACACCTTGTTGAAACCAGGTTTTTCATGATGATCTGGGCTTTAAACTGTGTAAACATGTTTATAAACATTTAAAATGTATTTACATGATATGTGTACTTATATTCTTAAGGGAACTGCATTGAAAATTTTAATTTCACATATAGTTTTGTCCTGATTTTCTTGATGAAGTAAAACCCAATTATTCTTTACAGATGAGTACAGAAAGTTTATTTCAATCCAGGATATGTAATGTGAGGAACTGGGCTTGACATGAGATCACTGGACATAAATGTTCACCATATGGTAACAATTTAGTACAATTGTTTAACAGTGAAAGTCCTTCTACAGTTTAAGGCTTCTTCCTGTTGGTAAATTAAACTTATTACACTTTTACATCTGTGGGTTTTTGTCAGGGCTCAGGCTTCACCTCTCTCACTGTGAGTCTCGAGCACAGTAATACACAGCGGTGTCTTCAGTCTTCAGGCTGCTCATCTGTAAGTACAGTTTACTGCTGGAGTCGTCTCTGGAGATGGTGAATCTGCCCTGGACAGACGCGGCATAGTACTGAGCAGGACTGCTATTAGGGTTGATACGAGCCACCCACTCCAGCCCCTTCCCAGGAGCCTGTCTGACCCAGCTCATCCAGGAGCTGCTGAATGTGAATCCTGAGGCTGTACAGGTCAGTCTGTGAGATCCTCCAGGCTGCACAGCTGCAGGTTCAGACTCAGTCAAGACCTGGGATTCAACACCTATGGGAAGAAAAAAGGCGTTTGAATTTTTTAAAAGTTTTCAGTAACTACATAATTGTTTGCAACTTCTTCCAATTCTCACCTGTTAAATATGTGCTTGCTAAGAGTACTACAGTCAGAAAAGCCATGATTACTGGTTGAGACTGTGGTCTGTAGACACACTTCAGTCCAGACAGCTGACACTCTCAGCTGTTTCTCCTCCAGCGCAATGAGATAAATGAGGCAGGAAGCCTCTGAGTTTGCATGGACTCCTCCTCATGGGATGGACAGTGTGACACAAAGCATAAATACTGAATCACACCCAGGGGAAAGAGACTTGATTTCTTAAAGACACTTGAATCAGTTTCTGACTCTTTTCTACCGTACATGAGTGATAAAATTCAATGATGTTGGGAGTAACAGAACCCTTGTAGTGGTTAATTTAATTTGT